ATATACGACACCACTGGGTGGGGAGTTGGGGAAGCACTTCCTTTCCACTAGCTGAGGGTGATGTCTCTTGTTTGTTTTTATTTTCTTACTGTGGTGTTCCGCGTGAGCAGAGTGGCTTGTCTAAGGTTTTTAAAGTTGTTCTGGCTCACACTGTTCCTGCTTCTTTGTCTGGAGAGGACAGTGTTCTTGTGGTGGCGGTGGTGGTAGTGGTGTTGCTCCCATTGATGTTTCTGGGTTGCCAGCTTCTCCAGCGCCAACACTGGGCAGGGGAGGAAAGAACATGGAACAAACACGGCCTTGCCAGACCTCTGCACTCAAGGTCCCTAGCCAGCCTGCTGCCGCCTCCCCTCTACCTCTCAGGATAGTATGCGTAGTTCAAACTTGATGCCTTAGTGTCAGTTGTAGTTGTGGTTGTTGTGTTGTTGTGGGAGGAAAAGTATCTAAACCCGCTTTTCCAGAAGAAGTCCCCGGTTTATTCCTCTTTGAATATCAGTCCCATCTCTTGCTTGGTTCCACCCTCTGGTAATTGTGTAAGACCTGACTTCACCGTCGTTAAACACCTACAGCGTACAGAGCCCTTCCCAGGCGGCCTGCAGCAGACAAAGATGAGCCTCTTCTGTTCGTATTAAAACTTAAGAACAAAAACGCCTCATGGAAACAATGTGCGAGGGTGTTGTGGCCGCTCAGACTCGTCCACAGGAGCAGGTCAACTCCCCGGAGCCCTCAGACAGCTGCTGCACTTCAAACGCGCCGCCTCAAACAAGGTCATCACGGTGGCACCTCCACTTGGGGATGAATATTTCTAAAAATGCGTGTGGGTTTCACTGTTTTGTACCACTAATAACTGCACGGATGGAACTGGGAAAAACGGCAATGACAACCACCACCAAACAAGGCTTTACCTGTCTTGCATGCTGTTTGAGGAGAGGGAGGTTTGATCACAGAAAAATGAAGTGGCTGAAGTCGGTTAGTCCCTTAGAGCAGCAGAACTGGTTCTTAGCAGTGCCATCACCTGGAAAGGTCACTGTTTTTTGTTGGTTTAACACAATCCCTGGCACCTAATCAAAGCTCTGTGAAGTCAGCAATAGGGTGTGTGTATATGTGTGTGTGTGTGTGGGGGGGGGGGGTGATGGTGGGAGTGACAGGTGGATAAATGCAAACTTCTATTTCTGAAAAGAGGGTACAGTTTACTCAGAGCCCTGAAATGAAAGTGGGTCTTGGTTCCCCTGGGAGTTTCCACCCTGTCTCTGACTCCCTGCTTATCTGTTTCATTCTCACTGGTTCCCTGTCTCTCCCTACCTCCCTCCCCATCCCTGTAACAACAGCTGTGTCTTTATATATTGATTAATTGATTATAGGCTCTTGTTGAAGTTCTTTAATTCTTTTTTAATGAAATTTGCTAATAATGTTCTTAGAAACATCTTTATTACATTATTTGGTTTAGTTTTTTGCACCTGGCTATGCTCAGGGGACCATACTTAGTACAAGGTATCAAGCCGGGGTCAGCCACTTGCAAGGCAAACACCTTACTAGCTGTACTATTCTCTCCGGAACTCTCTAGCTCTTTTAAGTATTCCTTCCCCCCCCCCCCCCGCCTTTTTAATTAAATTTTAGGGATTTGTTTGTTTGTTTGTTTTGTTTTGGGGTCACATCTGAATGTGCTCTGGGCATACTCCTGACTCAGAGATCACTCCTGGTGAGTTCAGGGGACTATATATGGTCTTGGGGATAAAATCCAGGTTGGCCATGTGCAAAGCATTTATTTGCTAGACTACCTCACTGCTCCCTAAAAGTGTTCATAAACACTTCTCTGCATGCACTGCACAATGGTCATAACTTCCATTCACTGACATACCACTGTTCTCAAGATAGAAAGTAAGTTAAAGTTGTTTAGATACTAAGACATTTTATAGTTTTCTTTTATTTTCCATCAGAGTTATGCCCTATGATTCTTTAAAATATTGTCTATAACTTAAAGGATTCAAATATTCTTAAACATTAAAGCAGGGCCCTAAAGCCATCAGGCTACATGCCTTTGTAAGTCTGGTCAGTTAGAATGGAACAACCTGTTTACATTCTGTCTTGCAGGAAATACTTGCAGATACAGTAAATATATTTCCCCTGTTTAGTTCTCAAGGAGCTGCAAATGAAAACTCTCTTAGACTTTTCCCCCATTGTGGCACCACTTGCCTTTTACCTTCTAAATGGCCGGAAGAACCTAAGGCCTGAGCCAAGTTATATGTTAGTTTATCCTGAAACTGCCTCCTATTTTCCAAGGTTTAGACATGATAGAAGTTCATGGCACTCTGGACTGTGATAAAAGCTTGAGGCCTGCAGAAGCCGGTGTGATGTTGTGATAGCATTTGACTTTCTCAGGCTCCAGCAGCCGACTCTCATGTGGCTTCCAGAGCATAGAAGATAATACATTCCGGGTCAGAATCATAGAACAGAGAGGAAGGTGCTTGGGGCTGACTTGAGTTTGATCCCTAGCATTCCATATGGTCCTGTGACCTCTGCCAGGAGTGATCCCTGTGCACAGAGCCAGGAGTGATCTGTGAGCTAGGAGTAAGTCTTGAGCACCTCTGGATGTGATCCATCCTCCCCCAATACTCCCCCGTTCAACACCCCCCCTCCCCCCAAAAAGAAGAAGATACACACTTGGCCTCTGGGCGCTTTCTGAGATCAAAGGTCTCAGCTTTGGCCAGGCAGTTTGGGGTATAGCCACAGGCCTGGCATTAACTCTGGTCATGCCAATTGTCCTGAGATCCTGAGGGTTTTTTGTCCTGGGACTTTCCACATTTTCACTCTTCAGTGGAAAATGCGGTGAAATTAGGACAGTTGCACTGTGCCGGGTCTGTTGACCAGTAAACTTGTTTTTATCTTTTGGCGTGTGTGTGTGTGTGTGTGTGTGTGTGTGTGTGTGTGTGTGTATGCACATGTGAGTGTGTGTATGCCTGTGTTTTATATACCATTGCTGTTCCTCCATGCATAAAATGGAATATTCATTTATCCATGCTAGATACGCTCTTCATTCTTAGAACTTAAATGTAAGTATGGAACCTGAGTTTATTTAGACTGATGAGTCAGTCTAAAAGAGAAAAAGAGGCAGCAGATTTGTTGGACCTTCCAGGTCAGAGAACTGCTATCTGCTGGATGGAGCTGGGAAAGCTCCGTGGCCAGCAGTGCAGTTGAACAGCCCTCGCTGTGGATTTGGACACCGGGACCTAGGGCTCAGTGGATGTCAGTGAAGCATGTACAGGGGCGTGGAGGGAAGGGCACAGTCTGTTGTGGGAGGCTCCCTTTGCTACTGCTCACAGAAATCCAGATGCCAGAGTAGGGTTATGGCTCTCAGGTTCCTTGGAAGGAAAGTCCACTCCTTTGTTAACATCCTGTTGATAGAGGGCCTGACCACCATGGATGGGAGCCTGGAGACCCCCTTTAGCTGTGGAGGCCTCTTCCCTGTCTGCACTGAGGGTTTAACCCTGGCCAGTCTCTTCCACAGCACTGACTCACCATTTCCTTAGTGTAGTGATTATCACGTTTGCTTAACCACAGCCCTGACCCAGGGCCGTTTCTGCCCCAGAACCATTTTGCCTGATTCTCCAAAGGCACCCTGAGGACTTCTGTGAATTTCAATCTCTCTCTCTCTCTCTCTCTCTCTCTCTCTCTCTCTCTCTCTCTCTCTTTCTCTCTCTTTCTCTCTCTCTCTTTCTTTTTCTTTCTGTCTCTCTTTCTCACACCCAGCAATGTTCAGAGGTTGCTCCTGGCTCTGCACTGAGGAATTACCCCTGGCGGTGCTCAGGGGACCACATGGGAATCAAACCTGGGTCTGCCGAGTGCAAGGCAAACACCCTACCCGCTGTGCTATTGCTCCAGTTTCCCTTTAGTTTCTTAATGGCGCTCCTGGTCAAATATTTAGTATTGCACTGTACAGTGATTTGCCCAATGATTCCCTTTAGCCATCTGTAGGCACCCTGTCATACCAAAGTCTGGCTCCGTGTCAGCATTTCAGAAATGCAGGAGGACCATACTGCTCTCTCTGTCCCATCTGGTCTTCTGCTCTCTCTGCTGTCAGCCTTCAGTTAGATGCTCAGACAGTGTTCACTGCCCATCCTTCCCTCCCTATCCCTGGGCAGATGAGGCAAAGGCAACTAACGTGTTTGGCATTTACCTCTATTCCTACCCTATGGTGTCTAACCCTCCCTGTCTCTCACCCCTTGGCGGGGGTCAGGGCTTTGCACTCAGGGATCACTCCTGGTGGGCTCAGAGGACAATTTGGGATGCTGGCAGGTGAACCTGGCTTGGCCCCGTGCAAGATGAACATCCTACCCTCCGCACTATCACTCCGGCCCTCCCTCCCTGTCTCTTTGGGGGCTGTGTCACCTACTGTGATTGCCACCTTTACCCCTCCCAAATCTTGTTTTGTTTTGGTCCTACTTGGTGGGGCCTGGGTACCTCCAGTGTAGTGTTCTGGGGCCATTCATGGCAGTACTTTGGGGACTGTAAAGTGCTGGGGATGGAGCCTAGGGTTCCCATATGTAAAACCTGTTCTCCAACCCTTTGACCCTTGCTCCCCTACACCCCCTGTCCCCAGTCCTTCAGTAGAGAGGATTGGAAAAGGAAGATTTCACGTGAAGGTGATTCGGAGGTCTAGTAAAGGGAGGAAAATGGTGTTTTTGGTTCTTTTTTGGTTTTTGGGTCCCACCTTGGTGGTACTCAGGGCTTACTGCTGGCTCTGTGCTCAGGGATCACTCCTAGTAGGGCTCAGGAGACCATATGGGATGCCAGGGATCCAACCTGGGTGGTCCACGTGCAAGGCAAATGTCCTCCCTGCGGTCTTTTCTCTCTGAGCCTGGAAAATGGGGAGTGGAAATGAGGGCAGGGAACGATAATGAAAGAGGCCTCTGCAGTTGGGTGGGGTGTGGGCGAGGCGGCCCCCTAAGCAGCATGCCTGCAGCTCTAGCTTCTGGCCTCTGACACGGTGACCTTGCTTTCCCCAGGTGTCCTCATGACTTCTCCTGCAGACCATGTCCATGATCCTCTTCGCCTGTGTGGTCAGGGTGAGAGATGGGCTGGCCCTGTCCGCCTCCACTGACTTTTACCACACCCAGGAGTTCCTGGAGTGCAGGAGACGGCTCAAGATCACAGCTGCACGACTAGCCCAGTACCCAGGACGAGGCTCCGCGGAAGGCCTTCACTTCACCGTTCAGTAAGCACAGCAGGCACATCGCCTGTGGCCGGAACAGTGTGGGGTAACGTGGGTAACGTGGTAACGTGGTGTCAGTCTCCCTGTGGTCAGGTTGTGAAACAGCTGGGCATGTCTGCGGTGGGTTCACAGGAGCAGAAGCACCGCTGCCCCAACTCCTGCCCTTCTGCTGGAGTGCCGTGGGCGCCAGGAAACCCGGTTCAACCAGGTTTTATTGTTTTGTTTCTGGTCCATATGTGGCGATGCTCAGGACCGACTCCTGGATCTGTTCAGGGATTACTCCGGGCAGTGCCCGGGATGATATGTGTGGTGCCAGGGATTGAACTGGGGTCGGCTGCAGGGGTGACAAGCTCCTTACCTACTGTCTCTGGCCCTCTCAACCAGTTTTTATGCCTTCAGTTTGACAGTTTTTGTTGCATGGAACATAAGGGTGGTACAAGGGTAAGGAGGAAGGAACTAAATGAAAATGAGAAGAAAGTCAGAAAGTGAGAAGCCAAGAAAGTAAGAAAAAGACATAATTAAAAAAAAAATTTTTTTTGCCCGTTGTTAGTGGGGCCCACTCCTGACAGAGCTCAGACTGGCTCCAGAACCAATAGGGCGAGACCCTGTGGGGCGGTGGCAGCATGCAGGGCACGTGGTGCAGGGATTGAACCCAGGTTCTTGCCCTGTAAAACACATGCTCTGCACTTGAGTCACAGCCCTAGTCCTTGACTTACAATCTTTTTTTGTTTGTTTGTTTGTTTGTTTATTTTGGGTTCATACCCAGTGGTGCTCAGGGTTTCCTTCTGGCTCTGCTAGGTATCTCTCCTGATGGTACTTGGGGGACCATATCTGGTTTTCAGGATAGAAGCTGTAAAGCAAGTGCCTTATCTTCTGTACCATTACTTCAGCTCCATAACTTAGGATTCTTGCTTTCATTTTTTGCTTTTTTATTTGGGGGGGTTGGGGGGGGTCAGAGTATTGGGTAACGCTTGGCAGTGCTGGGCACTGTTCCTGGCCCTATGCTCAGGAGTGACCTTTGGCACTCTGGGACCATATGTGGTGCTAGGGATTGAACTGGGGTCAGTTGCAAGCAAAGCAAGTGCTTCAACCCCTATACTACCTCTCTGGTAGCCGTTCAAGGTTTAAAACAGAATGAAAATATTTTTTGTTTTGTAACGAAAGCAAGAGAATGAAAACAATGAACACAAATAAAGCCTCCTCAAGGAAGTACAGTCTAATGAGGGAAACAATAGAAATATACAGGAGTCAGAGAGATAGTATAGCAAGTAAGGCTCTTGCCTTGCACGCATTTGACCCTAATACCACCTATGTTCCCCTGAGCATCACCAGGAATGATTCCTGTGCGCAGAGCCAGGAATATCTGACAACCAAAAGGAAAAAAAGCTATAAATGAATATGATGGTGAGAAAATGTTCCAATGGAATTTGGAATCAAGCGGGCACAATAATTAAGAGTTATAATGGCTAATGCTTTCTGTGTGCTGAGGGGACTGTTTTAAATGCTAGGTGGCTTCTGAGGTAGGAAATAATAGTTGTACCTGCTTTATAGGGGCTGGAGCAATAGCACAGCGGGTAGGTCCAACCAGAGTTCAGTTCCTCTGCCTTCGATTCCTCCGCCCCTCTTGGAGAGCCCGGCAAGCTATCGAGAGTATCTCGCCCGCATGGCAAAGCCTGGCAAGCTACCCGTGATGTATTCGATACGCCAAACATAGTAGCAACAAGTCTCACAATGTTACTGGGCCCCCTAGAGCAAATCGATGAACAGCAGGAGGACAGTGACAGTGACAGTGATCTGCTTTACAGAGTAGGAAGCAAGTTTCACTTACTTAAGGATTATGTTGTTAGTAAGGAGTAGACCAGGAGTTGAATGCAGGCAGCCAGGCCCTAAGCTCTGCTCACATATCATTTTCCTTTCCTTTTCTTTTTTTTTTTTTCTTTAAAGAGCATGGAGTCACACCCAGTGGTGTTCAGGGTTTTATTCTTGGCTGTGGTTCACTCTTGGTGGATTTGGGGGACTGTATGGTGCTGGGGATCAAACCCAGGTCGACTGATTGCAAGGCAGACACCCTAATGCACTATTCTGTTTCTCTGGTCCCAAGGGAAGGAGTCCTGTAAGGTTACAGTCTGAGTGAAATGAAGATGAAATGAGAAATGGTCTCACCGATGTAGAGGGATAACTCATATTTTCTTGGCTTAGGATGAGAGGAAAATAATCTTTCATCAGGATGTTGAAACTCTTCTTCTATGTTTCTTATGGGGCTAGAGTTTGAATTTAGATTTCCCTTGACCTGGAAAGGTTTACATATCAATATTGGTTCTAGACTGGTGACCCTTCTGTGGTAGTGGCCAAAGGACAGGCAGAACCGCCCTGCACGTTGGTACGTTGCATCTTAGGCATCAAGGAAGTCCTGCAGAAAAGGGGCTCCCAGCCACTGCTGGGTTCTCAGCAAAAACTGACAGTGTGACTCAGTAGTCACTGCTGGAACTCTAGCCCCCAGAACTTAAAATGCTAGCGCAATGCTCTAAAATGGGAGCTGCAGAGGATGGAAAGCCCCACGTTCATTTTATGAAACCAGAATAATCCCAGTACCCACAGCAAATGAAGGTACTGCCAATAGGGAAATCATAGGCCAGCCTTTTTTTTTTTTAATTTTTTGCACAGCCACAGAAGTCCTAAATAAAACATTAGGAAATGGAATACAGCACTGGTGTGCATTTGAATATGTATAAGCTCACAACCCGGAAGGGGTTTATTTCAGGAAGCCAGGATGATTTAACTTTAGAAAATCTATTGATGTCGGTGACAGAAGAAAACTTTCTTCTGAGGAGGAAGAGACGTCAGCGGCTCCATATATGTCCCCGATGGCGCATGCATCCCTCACGTGTGAATAAGAGGGAGCCCATGCTCTCGGGGCAGACACTGCTGTCTGTTTCAGAGGAGCCGCAGGGAGACCCCGTCCCAGGCAGAGAGAGGGCCTGTGTGCAGATAACAACTCCCAGACGGTCCCAACCTAGCAAGCGTGTAGTGGAGGCCGGCCTCTGTGTGGGTGTGGGTGAGACTGCATGGATCTCCTCCCTGGTAATGTGAGTGTCATTCTTTTGTTGCAGTGTCTCTTCTCTGGGGGATGTGGCCTGCATGGCTATCTGCTCCCGCCAGTGCCCGGCAGCCATGGCTTTCTGCTTCCTGGAGACCTTGTGGTGCGAATTCACGACTTCATACGACCGTGCCTGTATTGGTCTGGCCACCAGGCCATATGCCTTTCTCGAGTTTGGTAAATCCTCTCTCGTTTATTGCTCTCTCTCTCTCTCTCTCTCTCTCTCTCTCTGTCTCTCTCAGCACCATGTGCCCACACGGAACTAACAGTTTAGGTTTGGCTCTGACCATCAGGGAAAACCCAGTGGAGGAGGTGTAATGTGTGACAGTCTGGATCTCAGATTTCACAGCGATGGAAATGGCCCAGGAAGCTCGAGTTTAATAGTGGCTCCTGTTTTAGTGGAGAGAGTGTGGAACAGTCACACATTCACTCCGTGGTGTCTGAGGCCACTCTGTGCCTGCAGGGAACTCTGAGATCTCTGAGCCTTGAATATTTACCCTTTGTCACTTTAAGGACATTTCGCCACCCCTCTCTGGCGCTGCTCGAAGGTTGGTAGATGAACTTGTTTTTCCATCACGAGGTAAGTAAAAAACAAAAACCCTGTGAGAACAAGTGAATAAAATTCTTGCCGTCAGAGAGTTGTGTAGATTTTTTTTTTTTTTGCTTTTTTGGGTCACACTCGGTGACGCTCAGGTTTCCTCCTGGCTCTGCGTTCAGGAGGAGTTACTCCTGGTGGTGCTCGGGGGACCATATGGGGATTGAACCTGGGTCAGCCGCATGCAAGGCAAATGCCTTACCCACTCTACTATTGCTCTGACCCCCCCTTTTTTTTTAAGGTAGTATGTCTGTTTAATGAAGGAAGACTCAGCTATCACGCACACCCCCACTTACCCTTTCATGCCCCCAAGGTTATTATTTTTTTTAAAGTGTTTTTTTTGGGGCAGTATTTTGCAATGCTCAGGGTCACTCCTAGGTCTGTTCTCAGGGGACCATATGGGATACTAGGGATCAAACTCTACCTACCACATGCAAGGTGAGTGCTCTACCTACTGTACTATCTCTCCCGCCCCAGAAATTTGTACAATTTGTACATTCTTATACTTGTTTTATATTACATTTTATTGGTATTACCAGCCTGCTACAGTTAGGAAATAAGGGAAGACGAGGGGTCCTTCACTCTGAGGTTTGAGAAGTCTGACTCTGGAAGAGGGGGTATCCTTTCTTTTTCTTCTTCTTTTTTTTTTTTAACATTTCCTAATAGTTATTTAGTTTTTTTATATGAATCTCATAAATTTGTTGTTTTTAGCAAGTAAAAGCAAAACTTTGGACTTTGGACACAGCATTTTATCTCAAATTATCAAACTGTATTATCTACTAACATTTCTAATATTTGTTTCTTTTTTTATTATTGAATCACTGTGAGATACGGTTACATTTCTAATATTTGTTTCTTTTTTATATTATTGAATCACCGTGAGATACGGTTATAAGCTTTCATGTTTGAGTTTCAGTCGTGCAATGCTGGAACACCCATCCCTCCACCAGTGCACATTTTCCGCCACCAGTGTCCCCAGTGTACCCCCCAGGAAGAGGGAGGAATCCTTTTTTGGGTGCTGCAGGCAGTGCCTGGTGAAGGCCCAGGGGTCTCAGAGCACAGTCTCCCAGCTGGACTGCACGCTGCATACTCACGTGGTTGATTTGTTTTGAGCTCATGGGAGAAAGGGAGTAGAGATGGTGCGGGGGCAGGGTGTGTTCTCTGGGCCTCTGTGAGAGCCACCAGCCCCTCTGTGATGCTCCTGAATGAGGGAGGGCACAGGGTGGCATCTGGAGGTCATGTAGGCTTTCTGTTCGCACCTACTCATGCCCTACCACTCCTTGTGGCCTTGCAGCTGGCCCACTGATACAGGCTCAGCACCCTCTTTTGGTGTTAGCCTGAGGTGCTGGGGTGGCCTTTGGTGCACTGCCTGAGCCTTAGTAGGCCTTGAACCCCCATTTTTTTGGGGGGTCACATCTGGCGATGCACAGGTGTTACTCCTGGCTCTGCACACAGGAAACACTCCTGGAGATGCTCAGGGAACCATATGGGATGCTGGGAATCGAACCTGGGTCGGCTGCATGCAAGGCAAACGCCCTACCCGCTATGCTATCACTCCAGCGCCTTGAACCCCCATTTTCTTTATTTTAGAAGGAATGCTTTTATTTGAATTATAATAGAAATTTTCAAATCTTGATGTTATTGTATCAGGTCACAACTAAATGTTATTTGTGTTACATTTATTGAAATACTTTTTTTTTTTTTTTTTTTTTTTGCTTTTTGGGTCACACCCGGCAATGCACAGGGGTTACTCCTGGCTCTGCACTCAGAAATTACCACTGATGGTGCTCAGGGGACCATATGGGATGCTGGGAATTGAATCCAGGTCAGCCACATGCAAGGCAAACGCCCTACCCACCGTGCTATCGCTCCAGCCCCTGAAATAGCTTTTTAATAACTGCTTAAATTTGTTCTTTTCAATTATTGGAGCTTTCTAGATATACATAATCATAAATCAAAATTCTAGCTTTCAGAAAGAATGTCACCAAAACTTGTCTTGAATTATGGATTCAGCTCCTCTGTTGCCTGGAGTTTCCTCCAGAGACTCCCTGGGAGGCCGTTAGTCAGAGCATTGCTCTCAGCCTGCCTCAGCAGGCAGGTAGCCTCAGGAGGGCTCGCCACTGCAGCCCTTGGCCGCCAGTGGGTTTGGAGCTGATGGACGGACGGTCTTCCTGCTCCCCCTGTCTGCTCTCTGGGCCTTCCTTCTGAAGTGGGCAGCCCCACCTGACAGGAAGCCCTTCCCCACCAGCGAGCATCACTTCTGCTGACTGCTGAGAAGAGAGTGGGAGTAAAATTCCTCTGATCAGAACTTTCTCCTGGATTTTGTCTTACCAATGTGCATAAAACTCCATTTCAAAGACTTTTTCAGGGACCGGAGACGTGGTGCCCAGGCTCAGGCGCTTGCCTGGCAGGCTGCTGCAGCCGCAGTGCTGATTTGAATCCTGGCACTGCATGTGGTCCCCCTGCACCCCTGGGTGTAGCCTGAAAACAAAACGGAACCAAAAAAAAAATCAAATGCTTGCTCCAACTCAGGAATTGATTAATACCCGTATAGTTCAAATCATTAAGGTTAATAACTTTAAAACTTAGTTCAAGCTGATGTAGTGCATTCATATCTTTTTTTTTTTTTTTTGCCGTGATGTAGTCAAGAATAATTATTCTGGGTCTGGGGAGATAGTGCGGTAGTTAGAGTGCTTGCCTTGCACACAGCTGACTTGGGTTCAATCCCCAGCATCCCATATGATCCCCTGAGCACCAGTAGGAGTAAATCCTAAGCTCATAACCAGGAGTAACCCACCCTGAGATTTGCTGGATGTGGCTCCAAAGCAAACAAAACAAAAAGGAATTAAAAGAATAATAATAATTTGCAAGCTGAGAAATCATCTGTGAAAGTTACTGAGGGAACAAATCCTGAAAGTCCTCATTGCAAAGAAAAGAGCACGTTTTCCCTGCCCTCTGAGGTGATAAGTGTTATAGTGGTAAACATTTCCCGAAGAATGATGGTCGTAACTAGCATGCTGTATACCTTATGCATACACACTGCTGCATGTCACTGATTTCTCAATTAAATTGGAAGCCCAAAGAAAGGCCATGAGTCGCTCAGGGTTTCACTCTAAAGCCCCTGTCCTCTGACTACCTTGTCGCTGAGGTTCTGACAAGGTCCAGAGTGCTGTGGCTGCAGAAATAGTTGTGGCATCATTTCCTTTTTGGTAGATGCCCGCTCCTGTGTAACTACTCCTTTCCTTCCTGTTCTTTGTTCCTTTTTCTCTTTCTGCCTTTTTTGTCCTTGCCTTTTCTTCTCTTTTGTCTTCCTTTGTGTGTGTATAACACCCAGCAGTGCTCAGGGCTTGCTCCTGACTCTGTGCTCAGGGATCACACCTCGTAGGCTGAGGCAACCACAGGGAGCACCAGGGATTGAACTTCCATTGGCTGCATGCAAGGCGAGCATCTTACCTTTCTCTTCAGCTCCATCTTTCTTTCTTTCTTTCTTTCTTTCTTTCTTTCTTTCTTTCTTTCTTTCTTTCTTTCCTTCCTTCTTTCCTTCCTTCCTTCCTTCCTTCCTTCCTTCCTTCCTTCCTTCCCTCCTTCCCTCCTTCCTTCGTTCCTTCCTTCTCCCCTCTTCTCTCCTCCCCACTCTTTCCCTTCCGTTTCTTTCATTTGTTTAATGTGCCAATGATTAAACTTGGCCTCACACAGGCAAGGCAAGTGCTCTGTCACTGAGCTGCATCCCTGGCCCACTTGCCCTTTTTTTCTTTTCTCTGGTGGGGAGTGGGATGAGGTTGGGCTACACCCACCGTTACTCTGGAGCTATGTATAGCCCTGTGAACCCTGGCAAAACTCAAGGGAGTATAAGTGGCACTGGCGATCGAACCTGAGTCAGCTGAAGTGGCCACATGCAAGGCTGGTGCACTAGTGCGTTAATGCCTTATATCTCGTACTATCTCTCTGACTCCAACCCCTTGTGCTCCCCCCCCCCCCCCCGCCTCCCAGAATCCCCCCAGTGCTGTGGATCTCACCCAGGGCCTCACATGCAAAGCAGGTGCTCTACTACTTGAGCCACATCCCAACCCCTGAGAACCATCACATCTTAATTACTCTGCTTTGAAGAGAAACTAGCAGTGATTGTGTTGCGATCATTTGACCTTTGTGTGCAGCTTGACACGCTTCAGGATCCGGCTGACATTTAGCTTGCCCAGAGGTGTGAAAGGCGTTTTGTTCATCATAACGTCTTAGGGTACCCATCCCAGTGGAAGTGCTCATCTTGACTTGCTCTCTCTCTCTCTCTCTCTCTCTCTCTCTCTCTCTCTCTCCCTCTCTCTCTCTCTCTCTCTTCTTTCTCTCCGTTTTTTTATTTTATTTTATTTTTTTGGCAGACAGCATCATTCAGAAAGTGAAGAAGCATTTTAACTACATGAATCTCACTCAGCTAGGGAGCAGCTTAGAGCAGATCCAGGAGGAGCTCAAGTCCCAGCCACCGGCGCGTCTCATGCTGGAGGACGCAGCTGTCCCCAATGGGATGATGAACGGCCACACAAAGGTGCATTTGGAGCCTGGTAAGTGGCCTGCAGGTCCCTCCTGTTCATGGTCATTTATGCCGTTTTTGTAGGAAGGTGTTTGTTGGTGGGGTGGGGGAGAGGCGGATCTGTGGAAGATGTGAGGACGTCTGCCTAGATACCGACACTGTTGCCAGTGGTGGTTGTAAAAGCTTTACTCTTAACAATAGTACGTTCATCAGAGGGACGGTGACACTTAATGATGAAATTCAGGATGAAAGTGACTTGGCAGATTGTTTTCTTAACCAGGGTGAAGTCGGCAAATTTAAATTTTGAAAAGGAGATTCATTCTCTTTTGCTGGAGGTCCCTTATGGAACGGTACTGATTTGTATATGTTCTTCTCTCCTGTCTAGCCGTCTTATCTCTTGTGTTTATATTTTTGTGGGTTTTTTTTGTTTTATTTATATATTTATTATCTCTAAATATGTATGCTTCTTTGAGATCAAATTTTTATCTCTTCCTATCAGCTTGGGGAAGCATTGCACATCTCCGCTGAAGGACCCCTGTCCTCACTGAGGGAGAGAGAGTTGGGCAATGGGGAGTGGAATGGGCCTCTGCTGGCTTAATTTCTGGCTCCGTGTAGGCCTGAGGACATCCTTCTCTCCCTGTGGATTTCTGAAAAGTGAAATGTCCACAGTGCCTCAGCACTCCAAGAGTTAGACTGGCCTTAGCACCATCAGACGCTCAGTGTTCATAACCAAGCATGACTGTTTTTTGGTTTGTTTTGCTTGTTTATAATTACCTACAACTAAACCAATTTTTAATTACAGTGGATATGCTCAAAATTCTGTAATGGTGTCAACTTTGAGTTCTTCCCAAAAGAGCTATTTACACTGTAACCATCTAATTATTTTGTTTTCTTATTTACTAAACTCATTGCTTGAATTAAAAACAGATGTGTTAAAAAATGCTCACATTTTAAATAATTTTTTTTAATTTTTATAAAGTTGTTCCCAATAATTTATTACTTTCAGTATTACAACACCAATGCCACCACCGTTACACATTACACCTTCCCACCATCATTATTTTGAATTTTCCCACTACCACCACACCTGCCCCAAAGGCATATCCTATATAATTTATTTTGTATTTTATGTTATGAATAATCTGGTAAAAATGATCCAAAAAATTTCCTCAGAGGAAAGTGTGAAAAACATTAACTTTTTTTTTTACTTAACTCTTCCTTTTGTTTTTATCTGTTCCAATGAGAAAATTCTTGGATTTGTTTCCATGCCAGCAAGTTGTTGTAATTTATGCTGGGAATAAACTTAACTTTTGTAGATGGAAGACTGGGAAATTGAACCCCAAACTTCTCGTTTGCCAAATCTGAAGACAAGGGTAACTTTGTTATATTATGTCTTGTTTTCTTAAACACTTAGACAAAGAGATGCACATCCAGAAACTGTCAACTTGCCCATCTTTCTAGGATATTTTACCATTTGACTCACCCTGTTACCCTGACACTAGAATTTTGACAGGTAGCATGTTCTGTTCTAACAGGTGCCTGAATCTCTCACTGGGAACTCTAACACACTAATAATAGTCCTCACTTGTGTAGTGACTAGATATACTATGTATGTGTGTGTGCATGTGTATGTGAGAAATTGTAAGGACAAGAAAGGATGATTAAAAAAAATTTCTACAGGGGTCAGGGATGTGACCTAGCTGTAGGGCACACTCGCCTGGCATGCCCGAGGCCCCAGGTTCAGTTTATCACACTGCAAAATGAAATAAGATTTTTAAAAGCCTAGCAAGAGAATGAAATGGAAGGGAGACCATTTAGCTGTGTGGAACCAGAGCCAAATCCAGCAGTTATCTTCAGGGAGAGAATGATCACTCGCTCTAACTAGAGTTCCAGAGACCTCCGCTGGCTTAGTCAGTGTTTCCCTCCCCTTCCTAATTATTTCAGAACAAGGTAAAGGTAAAGGTAAAGGCCCTCCCGTTGATCGTCGATTTGCTCGAGCGGGCCCAGTAACGTCTCCATTGGAGACTTTGTTGTTACTGTGTCTGGCATATCGAATACTCTCGGTAGCTTGCCGGGCTATTTCAGAACAAAACAGTTGCATTTGCTGTAAATTGCTTTAGAAGCACATGTCACCATGAGTAATCTCCTTGTCAGAAAAAAAAAGGTAGAGATAAGTGCAGAGTTAAGGCATGCTCTGAGCCTGGTGTGCTCCCTGTCACCCCCTGGCCTCAAGAACGTTGCTGACCAAGAATTAACAGGAGCGTTCCCTGGGCCCTCTGAGCAGTGCTTTGAATCCCCCTCCTCCGCAAAAATAAATAAAATAAAATAAAATAAAAATAAAAGGGAGAGATTTACTATCAGAGGGTTGAGGTGTGTAATGGGAATGTCTTTGGAATCTGACAGCCGCTTTACAGATAAGCCATAACTTGCTTTGAATCAGATTTCTCAGCCTAAGCCCTGATGACATTTGAAATTGGCTGTATATTTTTGGGGGTTGAGTGGATTGAGTGGGGTGTCCGGGCTCTGTTGAGCTCTTAGAATGTTTAGATGCATTCATGGCTTTTACCCACTAGATGACACTAGCACCCTGTCTCCAGCCGTGATGACGCAGATTGTCCCTTACATAGTTCCAGATGCCTGCCAAGGATTTTCAGTGCCCGTGGCTGAGAACCACTGCTCAGGGAGAAAGGAAACGAAGGCTGTGAAAACCCGGCCTCGCTCTGGGAAGGAAGGGGCTGTGCTGAGTGAGAGATCCGCCTCGGTTCCCAGATCCATTTCTGTCCTTCATTTCTCGCCTGTCCTCCCCGGCCTCCCCTAACCACAGCAGCTTGTGTAAATTAATGTTTGTAGTCGTGTGCTTCATGTAATGAGCCTGTCATTAGTGAGGTCTAGTTCCTGTCTCTACTTAACTTTTCTCTCTGAGAGAAATCACTTCCACTCGACACTGCTTTCTTTTTTTTTTCACTGGGAAGCTCCTAACTTCCGACTGGAACCCGTGACCGCCCTGGGCATCCTTTCCTTGGTCCTCAACATTATGTGTGCGGCTCTGAATCTTGTTCGTGGAATTCACCTTGCAGAACATTCTGTACAGGTATACCCCCCTTCCCCCGCCCCACCACACACACACATTTTTTTTTTCTTGTTATAGTGGAGGGATCTGTGCTGGAAGAAACTGATGACGATCCATTCTATTTCTAAGGTTTTCTTTCTAGGTACTAAGGTTTTACACTTTAAAAATATATAGGGAGGGGCTGGAGAGATAGTACAGCAGGTAGGGTGCTTGCCTTGCGTGCGTCTGACCTGGGTTTCATCTCTGGCATTCCAGGTCTCCTGAGTGATCACGAGGAGTGATCCCTGAGCACATAGCCAGGAGTAAGCCCTGAGCACCGCCAGGTGTAGCCCCCAAATGAAATAGAAAAAAGAAAGCAAAGACACAGGAGATGAAATGAAGGGCTGGAGGGCATACTCGCCTGTGAGGCCTGGGTTTGATCCCTACTGCTGTATGGTCCCCTCAGGACTGCTGGAAGTGCCATGTCTCCCCCATCCCAGCCCCTCCCCAAATAAAGATTCTTAAATTAAAATTTTATTTCTAATTTTATTCTTTGTTGTAAAGTTGAACAAATATGAAACTTACTCATTTGTACCTGTGGTCCTAAGAAACCTTTATGAAGGCCTGCTGGGATGTTGATGAGGAACCAATGACTTGTTCTAAGGACATCAGATCACCCCTTAGGACCCCAGGAGTCACTCCAGGGCAGGTTGATCATTCAGGACCAAAGTTGCATCTCAGACTTTAAGGATCATATTCTTTTTTTTTTTTTTACTTTATCTCTTCTTCTTTGGGGAGGAGGGGCGGGCAGGGGGTGTTGGGAAGGTGGAGGATTTGAGTCACATCCAGCAGTGCTCAGGGCTTACTCCTGGCTCTGTACACAGGGGACTATGTGTGGTACCAGGGATATTGATCTGGGGTCAGCCATATGCAAGGCAGGAACCTCAATCCCTGTACTGTCCTTGCCTCAAGGATCAGGCTCTTTTTCCCAGGGATAGTTGTGTTCTCGTCTCTGGTTCTTCGATGTGTTGCACTTTTGTCTCTGTCAAAGAGCTGTATCACCAGGAAGTGGGCTCGCCAGCCTGCTCATCTCAAAGCAGATTTCTGTTTCAGTGCTTAGGGGTTATTCCTGGATCTGCTCTCAGAAATTACTCCTGGTGGTCCTTGGGGAACCATATAGGATGCCGGGGATTGAATCCAAGTCAAAGCAAGCGGCCTACCCACTGTACTGTCTCTCTGACCCCATAAAACTTTCTGTTTTTTTAATTTTTTTAAAGCATATAAAACACCTTTCAAAGAGCATAGCATCAGTATAAGCCTAAACAGATAGTTTTTTTGTTTGTTTTTGTGGTGCCATGTGAGTCCCAGGACTCACATGGAAAGCAAGTGTTCCCCCACTGAATCACATGCCCAGCCCAGATGTTGCTTTTCAAAGATGGAACTCAAATGTTCACACCCATTTGTGAGGTGGCTAACGCTGCTGCTGAGTCCCAGGAGACCAAAAGAAAATGGCCTGGTGAGAGAGCATCAGGCCCGTGCTGTCAGAGCAGTGAGAGGCCATGAGAGGTCAGAGGTCAGAGGCCTCTCTGCATCCCGGCCGCAGTGTGCTGTGCCTTCCACCTCCTGGTTATTCCTATGCAGGTACTTGACTTGTGAGTGTGTCTGCTGAAACAGGTGTCCAGCCCTCAGGATGGTTAAGACCACCTTAATTAAATATCTTGGGGGGAATGAAGCCCCCAGAGAGTGGTGTGGTGACATTGTTTGGGAGTTTGAAGTAACCTACAGGTGGGAGGGATTAGGAAAATCTACAGGTGAGTAGGGGTTTTTATAGGCTTGTAGGGTTGGGTGGGCGTGGGGGGGCACATCCTGGGTTGAGGACTTAGCACAGCTGTGTGGGAACACGAGGGCTCAGGGGTGTCCAGACCATTGAAAGTGGTTGTGAGCCAATCCTGCCTCTGGCCCCTGTGTGCAGGGGATTTTTGTGGCCCACATGTCTTACCCCGGGGGATTTTGCTCTCAGCCACACCAGACTGAGCGAGGAATAAATTTCTTTGTGTCATAATATTTCCCTCAATTCTCTCTTTTTTTTTTTATGTTCTTCCTCTTTGCTTTAGGTTGCCCAGGAGGAAATTAAAAATATTCTGGCCTTTTTCATTCCCTTTGTAGCCTGCATTTTCCAGGTGGGTGAAATATTGATTTTCTTAAAAATTCTTTTTTTTCTTAATTGAATCACAGTGAGATACACAATTGTACAAGGTTGTTCATGATTGGGTTTTAGTCATATAATGTTCAACACCCATCCCTTTATCAGTATACATTTCCCACCACCAGTGTCACCAGTTTTCCTTTCTCCTGCCCACCCACACTGCCTCTGTGACAAGCACTATGGGGACCTCTCTCTCCCTTTCTCTCTCTCTCTCTCTCTCTCTCTCTCTCTCTCTCTCTCTCTCTCCCCCTCTTTCCCCCCCCCCCCTCTCTCTCTTGGTATTTGGGGGAAATCACTTAAATCCATGGCTTTATTTATTTATTTCTCATTTGGAGTCATCAATAAGTTTCTAAGTCCTATTTTTATTCTAGGAGGACCTTGGTTTAAAATCTCAAGGCAATAGACAAAGCAGACAACAACGACAAAATTAAAAAAAAGTATCACAGACAACACCAGATCCTTAGTGCAAGGTCCATCCTGCCCAGTCCTCTCTTTTACAGAGGAAGAACTCTGGCTTCAAAAGTGGGGAAGCGCTGGCTCATGGTCAGTGGCCTCTGATGGATTCAGAACAGGAGTCAGGAATGAGAATGTGAGATTGCAGACAGGCCTGAGAGTGTACAAACGGTCCTGTCTCCTGTCATCGGGGCAGTTCAGGTACAGAAGTGTCCTTCTGCAGAAATCACACCTGTGGATATGTTTGTTTTAAAACACAGGACTGAGTATGTCTGTGTATATATGTAGATCTGTGTTTGCAGGGCTGGGTGTTTGAACTCCGGGCTTCACACACGTGAGGCATGCATACATATCACTGAGGCTCGTCCCTGGTCCCTAAAATTTTTTTTTTTTGGCTTTTTGGGTCACACCTTGCGATGCACAGGGGTTACTCCTGGCTCTGAACTCAGGAATTACCCCTGGCGGTGCTCAAGGGACCATATGGGATGCTAGGAATCGAACCCGGGTTGGGCGCAGGGAAGGCAAATGCCCTATCTGCTGTGCTATTGCTCCAGCCCCTCTAAAATTTTGTTCTAAATTGTAGTATCACTGGATTCAAGTCTGCCCTTAGGAAATGAAATAAAAGTTGTAAGATTTAACCTGGGACCCCAATTATAATTTAGTTATTTTCAAGTAAGCTTTATATTTAAGAGACAGGATTACAGAGGGAACTTTCATTTTCTAAAGACAGAGTTAATTCAAGTAAAAACCTGATCTGATAGAGAAGGGAGCACCAAATAAAGGATGTTTGGAGGATCCTCCCAGGAGGGGAGATGCATGTCGAAAGTAGACTATGGACTGAACATGTTTGCCACTCAATGCCTCTTTTGCAGACCACAACACCCAAAAGGAGAGAGAGAACACAGGGGATTGCCCTGCCACAGAGACAGGGGGGATGGGGGGATGGGGGTGGGAGGGATATTATCCATGGTGGTGGAAAATGGGCACTGATGGAGGGATGGGTATCTGATCATTGTATAATTGAAACCAAAGCACAAAAAATTGTAAATCTACAACTGTAAAAAAAAATAAAATAAAATAAAGGGAAAAAAATGTCAACAAAAATAAAAAACCACATTTATATCTTTCCTAAAAAAAAAAAAAAAAACCTGATCTGAGTTCTCTTTTCTTGTACTCCACATAAGCTAGGGTCTCAGTACTTTCTCGGCATGTTTACACTTTTTTTCTTTTCGTTTTTGAGGGGGAGGGTGTTTTGGTTTATACCCTGCAGTAGCACGGGCTACTCTTGGCTCTGTGCTCATTAAGTTACGCCTAGCAGTGCCCAGCGGACCATTCTCTGTGCCAGGGATGGAATGGGCACAGGCCACATGCAAGGCAAGCTCCTTGACCCCTGTACTGTCTCTCCACCCCCTCCAATTGTTTTTTCTTTTAATTAAAAATTCTGTTCTGCGGGCACCTCCCGTCTCTCTCATGTACATTCCAGAGTGGCATATGTTTTGAGGAATTCCATGGCTGTGCAAAAATGAATTGGTAACTCTAGACTGGAAATGTATTCTTTTCTCAGAAAACAAGTCTCCACAACCTTGGGTATTGCCTTTGGGTGCTGGCCAGTAATCCCTGTGGCATTTCAGGGCTGTAGTATTCCCGGGCTTCCACTTCCAGTCCCCCAGTCGTGTTCTGACTTGGAGCGTGTGCTGCTTTGATGGAGAACTCTTGAACTCTCTCCTAGCAGAGGCCGAGGCCTTGTCTGTGTTCTCTGTGCTTGGAAACTGTGTATATATATATATATATATTTTTTTTTTTCTGTCTTGGGAGTGTGGCTGAGAGCCACCTTTGGGCAATGCTCAGTGCTTACTCCTGAGTCTGTGCTCAGGGGTTCACTCCTGGAAGTACTTGGAGAACCATATGCAGTGCCAGAGTTCGAATCAGAGTTGGCTGCCTACAAGGCAGATATCCCCCCAAACCCTCTTTCCAGCCCAGTGCATTATTTTTCAAACACCAAATCGATAAGCTTTTTGTACCTTTTGTAGCACCACATCACCCGCTCAAAATAAAGCCCACTTTCCCTTCCTGCTACACGCGGCCCTTCCCTGACTGTGTTTTGAAGTCGTGATAAGACGGATGTCTAGGAGACAGCCCTTATGTTCCTGTAACTCAGGGCAAAAACCCCAGCGGGTGAAAGCGCAGCCTCTCCCGAAGGCTTTCTGGCCTGCTGAGTCTGCTGCAGGAGGAAGTCTTGCCAAGGACGGTCAGTCTAGTCAGGGTTGCCCCGTCTGGCTCCCCACGCCCACCTGCATCCTTTCCTCCTCTGTCACCCTCAGCCTTGACATCTCCATCTCTGTCTCTTCGACTTCTTCCAACAACGTGGGGTTCCAACTCCTCTCAGGACTGGCCTTTTGCTTTCCTTCTCTTTTTACCACTCTTCGTTCTTGCCTGGTGATTATCCTGGGAGTCCCAGCCTTGCGCCCTGGGCATCTGAGCGTCACTGTCAGGACTTTAGTGCGATGAACGAATGGGTGGGAAAGGACCTTCCCCCGCACAGCGGCGGCCGGCGGGGGCCATGACTCCCGATTCTGATCGTGTGGCCCAGTCACCATCTCTGATTGCACGTGCACCTCTTGTGTCATTTCAGTGTTACCTGTACCTCTTCTACAGTCCCGCCAGGACTCAGAAGGTGCTGCTGATGCTGCTCTCCATTTGCCTGGGCAACATGTACCTGCACGGGCTGAGGAACCTCTGGCAGATCCTCTTCCACGTGGGCGTGGCGTGCCTGTCCTCCTACCAGATACTGACCAGGCAACTTCAGGAGAAGCAGTCCGACTATGGCGTGTGAGGCGGGCGGCGTGGGCCCAGTGGGGCCTTCCGTGTTCCCGTAAGGATCGCCTGGGATTTCCCTCCTCAGTCCCGACGTTGTCTCGCCCTTTCCATCTTAAAGTTCCTTTTGACTGGCCCAAACGGAGGAACAGAGAGCTGGGGCGTGGAGCCAGGCGCAGGGGGAGAACTGGGGCTGCCAGATACCCAGTCCTGGTTTTGTGCTGAGCTGTTGCTGCAGAATCTGAATCTCTGGCTCAGCACGTTCACTTTGGACGGCCGAATGTGGGGGCTCGATCAGAAGGAGCACTGTTGGAAGCCCAGAATGGAATTATTCTGGTCTTTGACGTCCAATGATGCAATAAACCACTAGATTCAAGAAGCCTAGTTTTAGTTGTTGGCAGTTGCTTCCAGGAAGCCTCTTTGAAATCTTGTAGCCGCTTTGCAATCTGAAATGTGACTCAGTGTTGTTAGAGGGCCAGTACAGGGTAAATCCAAAACATAAATATACGGTTCGTAAATAGGAGCTAGGTAAGTTTTGTTTACACTTTTTTAATAACTTGGGTTCTGTAATGATAACCTTTGGCAAAAGATTGCAATGTATTTTGGACATCAGTTGGCCTTTCCTTCATTTAGGGTAAGGACAAACTTATGATGAGATACAGGGTAAGAGAGCCGAGTATTTAATATTTATGTCATGGTGGCAGGAACTCTATGGCACAGAAATGTTTCATATTTATTTGCAGGGTCCCCTCGACTATTTTAAAAAGTAACCAAATTGCCATGGCTGGAGTATTGGAGGCGGAGGCATGAGCAGACATGAGAATCACAGGTGGCTGCAAGCTGGCGTAGGTGAATCCGTGGGCAAGTGGTGTAGATTCACTCAGAGGTGCTCCCGGAAGCTCCAGGGTGCCTGGAGCCAAATGCCTGTGGTTTCACTGATGAGCACTTGACCCTGTGAACCTATTCCCAGAAGAGATTCCAAATTAACTACACTTTTACAGCATTCCCAGTTATCTTAATGAGATCAGGAATCTCTCTCTCTCTCTCTCTTTTTTTTATGAGAGTTAAGTAGCTGTTAACTTTTTAAAAGTTTTATGAAGATATAATTAGCCACATACCCACAAAAGTTTCTTTACCATTTCTCATTGTCAAAATGTTGGTTGATCCCAGTTTTCTAAGCTGCAGATCTGAATAAGGTCCCTAGGTTTCTGCTAGACTTTGGCCCTGGCTGGAGGCCATTTCAGGAGCTTGGTCTTCTGCTCATTCTTGGTAGACGTCTGGAATTTGGATAGTTCAGCCACAACTGCATGGGATTCTTCGAGTTGCGTTATTTGATTTTAATCGAAAGGGTCCTGATTCGATCATGTTTGAATGTTGGAAACCATTGCAAGAGCTCTCGAGTAGTTAGGAAAAAGTATATCATACAATAGCATTTTAGGGAATTCACTCATGCTTGATTATTACTGCTGGGGTTTTGTCTGTCATCTTGCTACCTTGGTATCACTTTGGAAAAAAAAAACAGACAAGTTCATGTGACTGAGTGCTGTGTTGGAAAAATGTTGCCATGGTAATTTTATTTTCATACAATAGATTTTTCTCTCTTTAGCCAAGCACAATATCTGGCTTTGTAAGTTTTATCAGCAGCGCTGTCCTCTGTAACAGGGTTCTTCAGCCCCTGGTCCACGCACCGCTGCTCGGCCACAGGTGTTGGAAGGCTGAAGACCACTGGTCTGCCACCTTGGTTGTAACTGATGGGCCGTGGAGCGGTACTGGCCCTCCGATGTAAGAAGGCCGAAGGACACCGCTCACTGCATTTCACAGGTGTCTGCCTGCCAATTTTTCATTGTCATCCTTTTCTGGATACCCAGCCAGTGCGTGTTCAGGCTTTCTAAAGGGGATCATTTTGAAGAGATGGTAAAAGACAACGGGAAGTCAAAGGGTGGAGGCGAATCTTTCTAGGTCAGAAGCACGAGAGTGTAGGACGATGTGGTGGACCCCCTATCAGGAGCATTGTGTTCTTCTCTGTGTCACCACATAGTCCCAGGTCCCCCCTCTGGGGGTCTGCCCCTGCCACCCAGGTTCTGCATACAGTGAAGAATAATCCTCAAAGCATTCCTGGGAATGTTTCCCTGATGCCGAGCCTCATGTGGAGATATTCTCCACACTTGGCTCAGCGTGGTCTTTTTGTCTGTTGAGAGCAACACAGGATTTGAGATTTTCCTTCACAAACAAAAGGGAAGAGATGCTCTAGACAGACCGTGCAAGAGAAACTCATGTAGACACTGTCAAACCAGGATCCCGCTGTGGGAGGCCTCAGCTCCCTTAACGATGGGCAGAACATCCTTCAGAGTTTGTGCCAGATTTCTCTCCAGGCTCAGGTTTTTGACGGGGCTCAGGCCTGGGTGTAGCACCCTGCTGTTGTTCCAGGAGGCCCTAAAGCTCTTCCCCTGCCGCTGGTGTTACCTCCCTCCTCTGGGGGCTCCCCATGTGCCAGCACCTTTGTTAGATGCTCTCTGTACCCCCCCCCCCCCCCCTTCACACGGGCTGGGGCTCAGTGAACGCGCTTGGGATTGCATAGCAGACACAGACCCCTGTTGTAGGGGGCTCTGGTGACAGACATCCTTCATCAGGACCCAACCCTTCAGAGTTCTGTAAAGACGAGGGCGAAGGCTGCATTGAAGACCTTTGGTCATCCAGTCTGCCCTCCCGCCCCAAGCTCTTCGTTCTCCGTGGGCCCCCAGTTCTTCATCTCTGGAGTCACTCCCATGAGGTGTGGGTGCAGGAGCCTCTGAGGGGGCAGATGACACAGCTGCAGCAGGTTAGGGTCACAGAGATGCCACTGACAGGCCCGTGTAGCTGCGCACAGCTGCTATTCTGGGTATGGAGGAAACTCGGCTGCAGGCTGGGCCTAGGTCTGCCACATGGAAGGACAGCTGCGCCCTGGCAGAGCTCCAGGCTCTCATGTGCTGTTCCCCGAGGAGGTGTTGAGGTCAGACCAGAATGAGGCACACTGGGCAGCTGGGCAGGAGTCCCCTCTAGAGCGGGCAAGCCTCTGGTCATCTAGCCTCGAGTGTCCTTATCTGGGAAGGGATGACCATCGGCTCTCTCTACCCCCTGAAGCTGTTGGGGGAGTCTGAGTCCTGGGCACACCCTGTGGCATGGTGCTACAGGAGAACTTTGGGTACACCTGCCCCCGCTGGAGGTTGGTGTGCATCAGACACCAGGCCAGATGGTATTTTCTAATACCGTCCGGTAAACTGTCCCTTTCTACACTCCAGACAGGTGGAGCCACCTGGCTCCCTTCCCGGGGCTACTCCTGCCCAGCTCAGCCCAGCACAGAGCCCTGGCACCCGGAGGATCCCCCGAACAGGAGTAGGGAAGCTGCTTTAGCAGGTGTCACCAAACCTCAAGGTCTGTCCCTGACCTAGAAGAGGGGATCCCTCTTCTGGTTGGGGTGAATGTTGTCAGATTCAGCTGCTGGGAAAATCTCATTGGCAGGGAACCTGTGGACAAGAGCTGCTCGGTAAAATCTGGGAATGGAGGGGTGGTGGGGGACAGTGGAGGGGGGCACAGGAATACCCATCAGTGTGTCCTGAGGGCCAAGATGTTGCCCACAAGCGCCTTTTATTTAGGGTAAAATAATCTAATCTGCTCTGCTCCCCCAGCCTGTGCTTGGAACGTAGTATCTTCTTTAACCTGTATATGATTCTGGGGTTGCTTCAGAAATACGATTTAATAAACGATTCATACTATTGATACCCCCTCCAGCCCAGCCCACCCCACCCCAGGATTCTATTTTTGTGTAATGGACTTAAGGATTTAATTTTCTACCAAGTGTAAAAGACGAGGTGCGTTTAGCCAGGGCTGAACCACGTAACGTCACCTCTTCATTTTGGAAGCTCGCTTGTCTGTGTCACACAAGCTTTTTACCATTTTCTCATGTACTCACAAAGATCTATTTTGAGTAAGGTTTTAACAAATTTTCACAACAGTAGTAAAAACAAAACTATGTTAATAACGTCTGTGAAGAATGTCGCATAGCTATTTATATACTGTGTATATTACAGTTGAAACCAGGTGGCTGCGGAAGTGGAGAATAAATTTAAGGTCTTTATTACTCCGTGTGTGTTTGTGTCTGTAGGGGAATGTGCGGCGAGGAGTCCCGTTGCTTTGTGGGGTGACGTGGGCCTGGCACGATGTGGGAGTTGAGAGAGATGAGATTTGGGGCCTCCTACACAGAAAACTCTGGACAGAGACAAGAGCTCGGCTAGAGTTGGGTGCAGGTCCTCAGACTCGGCAAGAAGGACCCTGGAGAAATCCAGCGGCAATTCCAGATGTGCACTGGGGGCTGGGGTACATCTCTCTTGGGTACCAAACTGTGCCCGAAGAGCCTGGCAAGCTACCGAGAGTATTCGATATGCCAGACACAGTAACAACAAAGTCTCCAATGGAGACGTTACTGGGCCCGCTCGAGCAAATCGACGATCAACGGGAGGGCCTTTACCTTTATCTTTACCTTTACCAAACTGTGGGCCCCGGGGCAGACACTGTCTCGCAGGAGTTTTCATTTCCCAGGACCAGCCTGTGTATGACACAGCCACCAGGAGGCACGCAGCTGCCACTCATGACCTTGGGTTCCCAGCCCAGGGACTGTGCCCTTTGTAGAAGCTGTTCCTCTCGCAGCTGATACAATTCCCAGAAAGGAAGCAGAAGGCTCAGCCTTTCTCCACTGGGGCTCTCTCAGAGCACATTGGGGAATACACACTGCAGGCTTCTCTCCGTCCTCTGCTCCGAGTGGAAACCGTTTGGAGGAGGACCGAGACTTCCAAAATAAACAAGTGAGTTTGTTGACACGGGCTCGCGGAGTCTTCCCACACCCTCTCTTTCCGGCCCCGTGCTTGAGCTCAGGTGTGGAAGTGAGTCCCAGGGAGCCAGTGATGGGAGCTCAGGCCCTGTCTCCATGCCGGGGATGGTGCTTACCTACTCCCCACAAAGAATCACCACCTTTCTTTTCTGAGTCCTACTCCCTAAAGGGTCCCCGGGCAGATGAGAGTTCCAAGGTTCAGTAAGCAGGTCTGGTAGAGGAGCCAGACCCCCCCCCGGGAAGCTGAGCAAGGGCTGGTTCAAGGCACAAACAGAATGATTCACTGGCAGTCAGGGACGGCAGTGCCTTTTGACCTGGGCTGGAAAACAAAACTGTCCCCTGGGACCAGCAAGATAGTGCTGCTTGTAGGATGCTTGCCTGGCATGCAGCTGCCTGGGGTTTGATCCCTGGCACCCCTGAGCCCAGGCCATGATCCCCTGAACCCTGCCAGTAGTGAAGCCAGAGCACAGAACCAGGGGTGATACCTGAAAACCTCTATGTGTGGCCCCCAAATAAAAACTCTATATTGTCCCGGCAGTGACCCAGGGATAGCAGAGGTAGAACATCTACTTTGCAGGCGTAAGGCCATGAGTTGGATCCCTGATTGCAATCCATATACCAAGTGCTCTCGTGGTGGCACTACCATGTAATATTCTGACATTATAACTGTGTATATGATTTTTCAGCACTCCCCAAACCAAGCGTATGTGAGCAGCACAGCTGAATGACCCCTCCATCAACTCCCGTCACTGGAACAATTATAAAAGGGAAGGGAAAAAGTTAAATAAACAACACAAAGCACATGGGACTCTCAAAAAATAAAGTCCCAGAATAATCCTTAAGGCAAAATGACTGATGAAATGCACGTGCCCCTCCAGCCCCTTCCCTCTGCTGAGGCTGCTGTGATGAGCTTGCTTCTGTGGTGGGTTTCCACTTGGCTGTGGAGTGAGTGATGAGAAACGGCCCACAGCACTGGAGGGTCGGAGACAGCAGAGCTGACGGGCAAGTGCTCAGCACACACAGCCACAGAGGGAACGTTACTCATGGTCTCACACTAGCCGGGCAGGGGCTTTATTTATTAATTAAATAATGTAGGAGTACTGCTATTTGTTCAGCCATCGATTAAGCTGATTGAATTGGGCATGAACTCCACATTATTATTTTCTTGTATCAGCATGAGATAGAGTTACAGAGCTTTCATGTTTGAGATTCAGCCATACAATGGTAGAACACCATCCCTCCCCCAGTGCACATTTTCCACCACTGATGTCCCAAGCATTCCTCCCCACCCCCCCACTCCTCCCCATATCCCCATATCACCCCTGCCTCAATGGTAGACAATTTCCTCAATACTCTCTCT